TTATATGATTTAAATAATTCAATGGTAAGCCAGGTGTGTCTTCACAAACTTTGATTAAATTCTCAATTAATTTCTTAATTTCATCACCTAAAATAGATAAAACAAGTAATTAACTTATTCAAAAAATGAAGAGAAAATGGATTCATATATATAATTTTACTGCTTATTGTTAACTTACTTTGATAGTGTCGAACAACTTCATCTTCAATAATTTCCGTTGTTTGAATATTTTCTTTTGTTATTTGTTCATTATTTTTATTGGGCTTTGTATTGTTTGGTGAATTCATTATATCGTCCTGTTGCCAGAATAAACGAGAAAGTTATTTGTAAAGTGCCGGCAATTAGAACTGTCAGTAAAATTTTTTTATCGGGTTTTTTATACATCATTTGATAGAGCTTGAGCTGCTGATTATGAAAAACTACTTTTTAGCCTTAGCAAATACTTCCTTCCAGTCGAAAAATAGGAAATACTTGAAAGGTATCGTTTTTCGAGAAAAACACATTCTTTCTCGAAATGTGCAAAATTTTCTATTTTATTCTTTTCTTTGCTTCTGAAAATATATTTTTCAGATTCAGCATCAAAAACTGAGTAGAAATAGGTTGTTAAATCGATTCAAGACCTAAAACTCTATTTGTAGTGCCGCTTCGAATCGCGTCGAGTGCACCACATACAGGTCGATTTTGTAAACCTATCAAGTTTTTCTACGTAAGTGATAAAGGCAAATATTTTATCTTATTCGACTCATCATATGACCACTTACAAAATTACAGACCACTTTTTTTTCTTTTCTTTTATACGTTGAGAAAACTCGGTTTCACTGGTACCATAGCCATTTTAAGCGGTATTTGATGGTTTTAGAATTCAAATAAGGCTTTTAGTCACAAACTAAATACAGATTCAAAATCAGGGTGTGGGATGTGGGTGAGGTGTGGGTGAGCGTGGGTGTGCATGTGGATTTGTGTATTCCACTGCGGCTGTTACTGTGCGTTGTCTCTATCTTGTAACACCCACACCCCACACCCCACACCCCACACCCCACACCCAAACCCACATCCACACTCCACTCACACTCACACCCCACTCACACCCACACCCACGTTCAATTCTTTTTATCCCTTTTTGTTCATCAGATCGGTGGCAAGTCAAGACTGACAAAAATACAGGATGATAGAGCATTTCACACGCTTTCAGAATATAGACTTACTTTTGTTGTAACTTGTCCCTATGTTGAAAATAAATTTGAAAAAATGACGGAAACAGGATAAAAAGAAGATAAAAAATTGGACGAAAAAATGCACTTCTGGGGGAATCTGATGGTGAGGATGCCTTCATTATTCTTTAATTTATTTTTAATAAACAAATGAAATTTAAATCGAACATATATAGGGTTGTAGAGAACTCCACGTGCTATCCAAATATATAATTACTTTTCTCAAAATGTTCATTTATAGTAATGATATATTAAAAATATCGTGTGCAACTATTTTTTGGCAGGGTGATAAATTAAAATTAATTATTTATTTATTTATATATTTTGTTCGATGCATTTGTATGTATTGAATGTCTATGATTTTATTGCAATTCAAATTAAATTAATTATTTATTTTATTTGATGCGTTTATATGACTTTAATGCTTATGAAATTGTTTAGATGAAAATTAAAATTAAAGTTAAATTATTCAATTTATTTGATACATTAATGAAATTCGATGCTTATGAATTTTCCCTAGACTGAAAGGCTAGGGTCTAGAAACCTAAATTCACCTGTGTCTGTGTGTCTGTCTGTCTGTCCGTCTGTCTGTCTGTCCGTCTGTCTGTCGGTAACGCGGTCAAAATGGCCATTTTTTTGGCACATGTGACCATTTTTTTGGCACAAGCGACCATTTTCTTGGCACAAACAGCTATTTTTTTACTAAAATTAACTAGGTAACTATGGTACAAATGAGCATGTAACTATGGCACAAACGGTCATTTTTTTGGTACAAACGACCACGTAACTATGGCACAGGTGACCATATAGCAACCATGGTACAAACAACTATTCCGGTAACTATGGCACAGATGACCATATAGCAA